CATTACTATGTAGGTATAACTTCCATAAAAAAAAATTTCAATGTAAACCAATGTGTGCAGATAAGTATTACTTCATTTATAATTTAAATACAAATAATATGCATCGTGGGTATCAAGATCTTTCATTCTTCTATACTGAAACTTTTATAAATGCAATAACTGAATGTCAAAAATTTATTTTGAAATTTACATTAAAATTTCTTTAGTTCTTAAGTTAAATTAAAATTATGTCAATTGAAAATATATCTTTAAAATATTTAACTTTTAATAAGAGACTGTAGCTCAATATTTATAATATACATTAATTATACTTATACTCATTTTGTTGAAATAATACAACAGTTTTAAATATGTTATAAATGTTAATATTAACAATCGATTAGATTTCTTTTAATCCACTAACTACTGATGAAGAAAATTGTTTCTACAAAAAAGTTGGTCATAGTTTTTATTGGCTCTCAGAAAACTAAAAGAGGTTATAATTAAATGATATATTAATTAAACTGCCACAATTTAAGTTTCTTTAATTAAAGAAAAATTTGTTATTTTAGTTTCATTCATAGGAAGATGAAATTAAAATTATGCAAATATTAAATACGTAGAAAGTTATTTCAGAAATTTTTCAAACAAAAATATTATTAATATTTAAAATGTTTTTCAGTCTCTTGATTACAATTAATTAATGGTAATGTTGATCGATGATTTAAAATTTAATTGATTTATTATCCTTATATAGCTTAAAAACATTTTAAAAAAAATTTAATGATTATATTGATGTGGAGAGAATTTCATACATGACTTAATGTAATATACCAAATAACAATTAATAAACAAATATTATTCGAGAAAAAATTTTTTTTTTATTTTACAACACAATATATATTGGTAGGTGTTCTATATAATTTGTTTCATTATATTTCTTAGATATATTATCGATTTGCTTCTTAAATTTTGTATCATTCAATTACTAATAAAATAAATAAAATCAAAATGTAAATAAATATAATGAACGATTCCATAAAGCTATAAATTTATTGATAAACGAAATTATTATTTTAAAATAAATTTCAATATTCGCATATAATCAGATAACTTTCATATTTACTCGTTTAAACAATGTGTAAATAAGAGGAAACATTTTTTAATATTATTACATCCTATTATAAGAAAGTTCATCGTATAATTGATGAAAATATTATGTTTCTTTGACTCAAAAAGTAATATAGATATAAACAATATTTCAAGTAATCATTGATTACTAAATTAATATGTTGGAATTGATTGATGGCTGAGCTTTAATTCTTCCTGATACTAAGCAGTAATATATTTAATTTCAAATTTCGATTAATATTTTAAATATAATTTGTTATAATTTTAACACTCGTTACAAATAATATTTTGTGCAATGTTAGAGGAGAAATAAATTTTATTCGTTATTGCAACATAATTTCAAAAGTTTTTTTTTTTTTTTTAAATAGAGTTATTTAGATATTACAACTTTTCAAACATTTTATAAATGGATGATAAATGATCTTTTATTTACCACTAAAATACTTGATAGATTTACTATTGAAGTAAAATCGATTTTTAATTTCCACCCATTTATTTCAATGTTCAATTACTCTAGTAATTTCTCTATTCTCTTACTCGATCATTCCCAAGTAGTCACTTTATAATTATGTTTACTTAAAAGGGATACAAGCAATATTTCAATAAATGTCGTTTTCCTATAAAGAATATACTTAAAAAATTTGGCAGCAATTTTAATTTTGTTTTGTCGCTGGTTTAATGCATATTTAAATTAAATGAATATTCGAACATGATCAAATACTCTATGAAGGAGAACTCAATAATCTTATCAAAGATATTATCTACTATTGATGAAATATGCATTGAGTTGCGTGCCTGAAATATATCTTGGAACCGATCGAATTGTTTAGGCACTGCAGTATAATAGGTGATAATATTTTTTTTTTTAATGTTATAGTCTAAAATTACTATTAAAATATAATTTTTAAGAAACTCTAGGATTTAGAAAATTGACATATAATATATAAATAGAATATATAAATGCCAATATAATACTTAAAACATACAAATCTAAAAATTATTCTGATAAATAAATAAATAATTGATAATAGTAATGTAAATTGTAGATAAATATCAAGTAGGATTTAAAAGAATCAAACTATCCTTACGAAAATAACAAATTGTTTATATTTATAGTATCTTTTCTTCTTATATAAACATGCGAATAATTGCTAGAACACATTTTGAAAGAAAATCATTAAGCCGTTGTCAGTGAACACTTGCACTATTCACGTCATACTTATTACAGATGCATTACCATTTCTTTTCCACATGTGCACATATATTAATTTAAAAGTACTAATTATCATACTTATAACATATATATATATTCATTTAAATCTACTAAAGAACATTTTATTATATTATTTTACTCGGTATTATACTGATATTAGATAATATAAATAAGATGTGTAATATTTAACAATTAGCTATTGTCAAAGCTAGTTAAATGTTACTTTGAAACGAAACATTACCAATAAAGTTTTTTAATATTAATTACAATAATATATTGGTTGTTAATTATTTCATTATCAAGTATTGTGAATCTCTTGAAAATTCATATTTTTAAATAATATATTTTATAATTTTTATATTTTCATTAGATTTAAAATTAAATATTGAATTTATAAATGATTTTGTTATACTGTTAAATACTATTACAAAATATAATGAAAAACTATCGAGATAATAATTTACGATAATCAAAAATTGTTTTTAATACTTTATTAAAACAAAAAAAATTTTCACACATACATACATTTCCACAGGTATATTACATACGTATTTTCCTCTATAATTTCAATAAAATAAGCTAAATGTACTTTAAGTATTTTTTTATAAAGTTGCTATATTATGTCTAATAAGAATTAACTTCTCTTCATAATTATTCTTCATTAATTTCATAACTTATACAGTATTACTTAATAATTGTTCATAATGGTTGAAAATATAATTCTGTGTTGATTTTTCGTATGGCATTTTGTATACTTTCTACATAGAATTTGGGATAGGATATTAGGATATTCAAGATTTCGATAATAATCAATGACATGGAAAAATTATATTTATCTTAATGTTTCGAACACATTAATTTATATATATATATATATATATATATATATATATATATACAAATCTTTAAAATTTTCTAAACGAAATTCTTGATATAATTTTATAGTATGTTATAAGAAATTTTTTAATATAATATATAGAATATGAGACAGAATGATCGATAGCAAAACTTGCTGCCATAGAAAAAGTTATATATGATTTTTATGAAATCATACTTGTTTAGGTAAGTTTCTATATCGTATTATGCTATTGTACGGGCTATGTAATAAAATAAAACATATTTTAGAGTTAAATGATATGAAATATATAAAGCAATTTAAAAATATTATTAAATATTATAAATTTCATTTCAAAGAAAGTAAATATTATATAAATAAAAGGTCATTAGAAATATACACGATTTATAAAATATTTATATTTATAAAATAATATTTAAAAATGTATATAAATTATACATTTTTTTATTGCGAAACAATTACCTATGACCTTATACAATGTAATTTAAAAAAATAATTAAACTGAATATATTAATTCAAAATATAGTAATTTAAACTTAATATGCATGACCATATCAATTTCTTCAGAAGTATATACAAATATAAATTCGTATTTATATATGTATAAGTTATTTTTATATGTTTATTCCAATATGATTTAATTTACAAATCTATGATAATAAATGTTTAGAGCAGCCTAAAATTTATGAAGTTTAGTTTTTTAAGATATTAAATTTTCTTTTTAATTCAAACAAAAAACTAGCTTTCTTCGTTTGTCTATGAAAATTAATTATAATAATTAGTATTTCTTTATAATAATCATAATAAAACTATATTATTTCTTCCCTGCTGAAATAAAGGTTACGTAATTTCTTTGTTATTCTTCACTATATAAATAAAAATATTAAATATATTAGAAAAAGTATGATCGATTGATTTAATTGGTCATACGTAATTAATTTCTTATTCAATAAAATGTCAGAATTGAAATTAAATATCTTATTTAAAAACAATAAAATAATTGTGATAAAATATTTCTCCGTCTTGTAATCTAGGATTTTTATATAAGTCTTTAATAATTAAAGAAATTTTAAACAGCCCATTGAAGTAGTATACTGAATAAGTAACTAATTGACAATTATTGATAGAATTAAGAATATAAGTACTTGTACGTATGCTTTAATGATTTTTGAACGAATTAAATTTTATGATAATACTATTTTCTGGTATTGCATATTAACATTATATATATTATTATTGTTAGATGTACATATATAAAAAAAAAGTAGTTACTAATTAAAATTCTGAAATAATCTTCTCAAATTAAATCGTTTGCAATTTTTTTGTTACTTATCAACAATTATTTTATTTATTTATTATTTTAAGTTTAGTATTTAAATTTTTATTCAAGATTTGATGTGCAATATATTTTTACTTTTTTAAATAGATTGATTATATAGCTAATACGTTAAATTTAATTATTTGAAGCGAGATAGGAAAAATTTTTAAAAACAGGCAGTTGCGAATTTCACGATTAAAATTTTGTTTTAAACAATTTATAAAAGAATTTTATTAAGACATATACTCGATGGGCAATGTTAATGTTTTATTAAAATGATTTTTATGGTTTTGAAAATATAAATCTGAATATACCTATAATTAAAATGCAACTTTATTTGTTGTAAAAACTTGTTCTAAAGCTCGTTTCTTACTCGAATTATCTGCAGTTATATATGATATACATGTTGAATCAAAATATTAACAAATAATAATAAATAAATTATTATAATCTGAATCCATAATCTGAATATTAATCAGTAATAATGATTTTTCTGCTTACAGTTATCAGAGGACATTGGTTATGTACTATATTCAGCACTTGGTAGCTTCTATATTCCCTCTTGCATCATGGTATTCGTCTATATACGGATCTACTTTGCGGCGAAGGCTCGGGCGCGTCGTGGTATTCGTAAACCTCAACGACTGCGACCGATGATACCGCCTTCCGAATCACCAAACATTCATCAGACGAGTTTTACCCATCCAATGAGCATTGAAAAAGCTGATTTGGGCAGTAGCAGTGATCAGAATAAGACACCTGGATTGGCCATGGAAAATGTAGCCACCATAGAAAATCAACCTGTGCAAATTCCCATAGTTACCTGTGACTTTGCAAGTGATATAAGTACCTCTGAGGCCGACCCCGGAGGTGGTAATATACCAATGGAAGAAAAAGATACTCTTAAGGTAATATAATAATGGAATAATCTATAGTTGGTTTGACAAAATTGTGTTAGTCACGATATTATATATAATTTATTTAATATGAATAATGAAAATGTTTTTTAATTTTTTAAATTTTTTAAAAAATTTTTTAAAAAAAAAAATTTTACGTTTTTATTTTACCTTATGGACGTGTTAATTTAGATAACGTCATATCGTATTTAATAATAATAATAATAATTTTTTCAAATAATATAACGAGAATAATGTTGATAAGTAACTATATGAAACTAAAGATGAATAATGGTCATTATATATAAAATTACTATTTTTTAATTATTTTTAACGATGAATGAAATAATTATAATAACTTAATAAACACTCTCTATATATTTTTCTATATTTATATTAATTTAAATTTTGATAGTTTTGATGTCATACAAAATAAAATTTGAATTTTGTTTCCATCTTTTCATTCGCGAATCAAATTTACTACATTAACAATACTTATCTAATTTTAAAATTTCATTTATACAAATTGATATACACATACAATTTTATATTATTTAAACAATTTCATTTAACTTTAGATTTAAAATATTCCATAAACTAAATTATCTCAATTATTATTTCAAGTATTTAGACTACATCAATAAATGTAATACTATTAATTTTTTTAGTGATCTTACTGATTCAAAATTTTATTATTTTATTAAAATTTAACCTAATAGTTCATTATAACATATATTTTAATAATATTATTATATTTTTTATGAAATAGTTGAATCGAGAATAAAATTATTTTATATTAATGGTTATGAGTTAAGTAGCATATTGGTATTAATTCTTAATTTACAAATAAATAAAAATTTATGTCCAAATTATATGTACAAATATACGTATAAATATATGTATATATAAAGTATGTATGAAATAACTAATGACATATATTTGTTTTTGCTAGATTTTTTTATAAACTGTACAGGCTTCTTCGTTATAAAAATGCGGAATGAACAGAAATCTAAAACAACTCACATTAAAGTAAATTTTATTATATATAAATAGATTCGTTTTTAAAATTAACGAAGAAAATATTAATAAATTAGTTACACTCTAAAGAGACAATAGATCCTTCGTTAATCAGGAATTAATGATTATTTTAACGGGCGGTGAAAATATTTAACAACAGTTCTCACCATGTGCACCATAAAATGTGAATCGACATACAAATATCTATAAATATTTATTTAAATTAAAATGTGTACAAAAATGTGTAAGATGTGTAAGATTTGTATATTAATTTCGATAATAAAATATAAATGAGGGGAAATTGTATAACGCGGTATATACTGTTACTTTGATGTTATAAAATATTAACTATAACATAGATCAAAGACATAATAAGGAAGAAAATGTTATATATTTAATTATAGGGCCAATATTATTATGCTAATTACATAGTATTTAATGTACATATATTGTATAAAAATAGTTTAAAAGATCAGAATTGAGGCAGGTTAAGTTTATGTTTGATATATGGTATGCATTGCTTGCGAATTCATTTCTAAAGACTAATATTCAAATTACTAAGATATATATATATACATATATATATATATATATATATATATATATATACATTCGTAGAATATTTAAGTATACTACTAGAAAGTAGTATAAATGGTAGCTTATAGCGGTGGTTTATCAATAAATTTAGTAAGTACTAAATCTAAAAATCTACTTAAATCTACATGACTTAGTACAAAGTAGGAAGTCTTTTAATAAAATTTAAAATGAATTTTTACAGTCCGACACAGTAATAATGTTGTATATTAAATTATGTGCCGTTGATAATTTACGATGTAATATATTTACCAATATCGACATAATAATGTTCCTTCGTAACGCAGTCTAGCTTCACGTAAATACTTATTATTTATTACATGATCGTTAACTAGCTCTCTTTTCAAGTTCCAATCAGTAGTTTCTCAATACTAATTCGGATAATAAATTAATATTTTTCTGTACTTACCCAATATACTTTTTATTTTAAAATCATTGTTTCAAATACTAATGAAATAAATATTTGAAATACCTTTCTGGTACTACTAAAACACTTGCTGCATTTTATATTTAATTCATAAAATACACGATTTGTTCCTTCTTTCTTTTCCTTTATTTACACACTATATATACAACAATCATATGAATTATCCGTAAATATAAAAATGTTATATAAGACGGCAACACTATCTTAAAATATTAATTTTAATGCTTTTAGACATTATGGAGCATCTTGAAATATTGTATAATCAATAACTATGTTATTAGATGCATGTTTTTCTCGATAAATTTGATGATTATGTGAATAATATACATGTTTTCTGAAATGTGATATTGAGAAAGATAAGTATTAATATAACGTGATATTCTGAAAAATATAAGAAAAATAGTACACAAGTTTAATTTATTTAATTATGTGATCATTAATATATTAATTTTATTATATAATATAAATAATTATATATAAATATTACATATAATTGGATTTTAATAAAAATAATCTTTACTACATGTATCTATAGCCTAAAAACGAATAACTATAGAGAATGCTGTTGTACATACGTGTGTATATAGTTATATAAGTGCGCATACGCACGCCAACATATAATGGATGATGCATAGTAGAAATACATTAATAGTTTAATAATGAATTTTTAATTTCCTTATTATAATTTGGTACAAGTGTATTAAATTTAAAATAAAAGCATAAATTATCTATGTACGTATGTATATAACAAAAAATTGTAATGACTACTTTCAAGTTAATGTAGTTTTTAATTTATTTCAATTTCAGTACTATGCTTTTAGAAAACTTCATTCGGGAATCTACTAAATTAATATCAATTTTCATTATACCGTTTGTATATTAGTACTTTGCTGTATCTGTATCCATCGCTATATTTTTTGTTTTTGAAATTGTTATAATAAAACATTCAAAAATCTTGTAACGCACATTGAATTTGAATTTCTTAAATAATACTTTAATATATAAAATTATAATATTACCATCTAATACATATATAACTTTTTAACTAATATTATAATATTTATATATAAATAATTAGATGTACAAATATTGCCTGTTTATAATTTCAATTTTTTTAAATTTATTATAATTTATAAGAAGTTTAAAATCAATATTATAAGCCAAATACTGATTCATGCAAATCATTATTTCGGTTTGTCAAACATAATCTGATACAGATAAAATTCTAAAACATGTTAATGTAAGTACCGTAATCATTGTAGCTAGCCATCTTGTATGTGCATGATTTTTTTATTTAAAAAATTATAAGAAGCATTATTATTATTCTTATTATTAACCACAATTGTAATGCAATGAAATGCTATTAACAATATTTATATTTATAATATTTCAGTTTATTCATTAAAAATCCATTAAAATATTCTGCATATATATGTATATATATATAGAATATAGGTAATCAGATGAATACTTTACGTATTTCGTTAGTTTCTCACTATATATATAGTTGCCATCCTATAAATCAATAAAAGTATATTAAAAACAAATTATATTAAAAAAATTTATTAATTAGATATTTTTTTGTGCAATAGTTATCAAATGATATTTCAGTATTTTACATTTACATTAAATACCGTATTTTAATACATTAAATTTTACATATCAATTCAATATTATGATTATAATATTATTTGTTGTTTTGCAATTTGATATGGTATTATAAATATAAAATTTATAAGAATACAGTTTCATAGATAATTCGCTGTAAATATTCATAATTATTAGAAAGAATTGTTTTTTTTAATATTAACTAAATTACCATTATGAGTATGGATTTTTCACTTTCTTATATCTTGTCTTACATTAAATAATTTTCCTTACTTATTCATATTAACAACAGAAAAATAATTTCCCATTAACTATAATTTCTTAAATGATTTATGTAGTATTTCAAAGTGCAAATAATTCGCTCCTTCAGTCTTTATATATTTTTTCAATAAAACGCCTCATTGTTGTCGTGTCGTCTTATATGAATATATTGAAAATTACTAAATACTTGTATGCGGGATGATCGACGCCAATTTTACGCTAAAATATCTAGCGCCAGGCGCCACGATTACGCTCGGCGTATGTGCGAAGATAGATAGAATTAAAGATACCTTGACGTATCACGGAAAGGGTATAACAAGATGGCGCGTGCATCTCCCTGTTAGGTCATTCATTCAGAGGTCGACCTTTAGTTCTTCAACATACCAATTAGTTTCTGCTTAGTATCACTATTAAATATGAGCTAGAAAGAAATGTTTGATACGACCAAAATTTTTAAATGTTTTTGATACCAACTCCCAACTTCTCTATCCCCACTGATATTTGATAATAACTGAATAACAGGGTTATTCCTACCGAAAGGTAAGTCAACGAATATTATCCTCGTTTGGTTTCCCCATTCTTCTCTTCCATCATCATTTCCTTTCAAGCGTTCTTCCATTCGTTTGTCAATGTAATGCAACGAGGATGTACTTTTCCGCAAGGCGGGGCCAAGCTGTTTTACCTCCCTTTCTGGTCAGTGCACCCCTGCTTCTTCTGTGACTTTCCTCCTCTCGGGTCGACAACTTCGACGTCCCCTCTTTGCCGCGCGTGGCCCCAATAAAGCATCAACCTATTTGTATTGACAGCGATAATTACTATTTAGTCATTTATGTATGCGTTTGTCTATAATTTGAGCTTTAGAATCCAAGTTTCTCGGATATAATAAACCTATTGGTAACGTGCTGTATAATTATATTATACGTGACAAACTCTTCTATTTAATATATTACTTATTATTTATTTATGGTCCGCGACATAGAGAGGTCATTCGTTGCGAATCCAGCTCAATCTAATAATTTCACATAAAACAACATCCCATTGGACTTTTTCCTTATTACTTTATTTATTTCATGATTAATTTTTTTTTGTTTTTTATTGTTTTTTGTTTTTGTAATTATCGCTTCGTTTTCCTTCCGCCTTCATCCATTTCTTTCTCGTGTTTTCTTCTTCACTGCACATTACCGCGACTACACCCGTATACCCAAGAACCCTGACACCGATGCCGACATATCCAGGCTATTGGGAGATCGCGCGATAAAAATACGAAGCGCCACGGAGCATATCGTTATATTCTTTACACAATATTCAAGAAATTATTAATGTGACTATTATCTTCATTAAACACAATTGATTTTTCAAAAGAAAAGTATTAAACGGATTTTTTTTCTAAAATATAATCCAATATCTGTTAAAATAATTTCAAAATATTACATGCTTATATACATTGTATTATTAAAAAAAAATTTGTTTTGTAAACATAAGCGAATGAAGGGATTACGGTGTATTAAAAAAAAAGGTGGATCATAATGTGAATAATAGAAAAATAATTAATTATTATTAGGACTAGCGATTGAAATATTTTATAGCTTCGATTCCTTAATTGAGAATTATAATCTCTAACCAAATAGAGCATTGAATGATAAATAAATAATATGTAATTTCGAAAAATTTCAAATTTTCTAAATGAACAGCTTTTAAACGAAGTTTTTTGTTTATGTAAAATGTACCCCAAATAATGTACAGAATATTTGTTAGATAATAACTGATAAAGATATTTTGTTACATTGTTATATGATAATATTCTAATCGTAATGATTAATTATTTATTTGTGGATTTAAATTCTTTAAAATCAATAACGAAATTGACAATGAAATTAATCTGTTTCAAAATTCTTCTATTTGCAGGTAAATATACCAATGCCGATGCAAAAGTCCAATTTGAAAGCCACTCTTTCTGTAAACGGCGAGGGTCAATCCGGCCAGGGACTTCCAGTAAGATGTCGTGCACCTAGTGTCGGTATTGACGTGGACATGGTTTCGGAATTGGATCCCTCTTCGTCAGACAGTGGTGTCGTATCGCGTTGTGCTGTTGTAAAGCCCTTAAAATTACGCTTTTGTAAGCCAATTTTTGGACGAAAAGCAATTGAGAAGTTGAAGCAACAACACCATCACGATTATGACGATCGACATCAAAAAGATATTATGATCGAAACGAAACATCAGAAGCCACGCGATCCAGAGCGCGAAAAACGAAGACTTGCAAGAAAAAAAGAGAAGAGGGCAACACTGATTTTAGGTTTAATAATGGGCAGTTTTATAGCCTGTTGGTTGCCATTCTTTTTTCTCTATATCGTAAAACCATTGTTTCCAAATCTGGCGATTCCTGAGCAAGCTTTTGCAATTGCATTCTGGCTGGGCTATATGAACTCTGCCCTCAATCCAGTTATTTATACCGTGTTTAACAAGGATTTTAGGAGAGCCTTTCGCAGGATTCTATTTAAATGAGGAAATGATGATATCTTATCGATGTTATGAATTTCTCTACATTTCTAATAGTAGAACATGGAGTCTTCATCAAGGTGACAATTCTTTAAAATTACAACTAATATATAAAACAATTCATATAAGTAATTTATAAGCTAAATTTTTAATTTAAGTTAAAACAACACTTAGAATATTAGTTAATTATCAACAAATTATTAAAAATATCAATGCATATTCAACCATTAAAATAATCATGTCGACATAATTCTATTTAATAAAACATTAATACTTAGTCTAAAAATTTCAAGCCATTAAACATCAGAACGCCATAAAAAATATGAAAAAATACCTAATGATTATTAATGAATAATTACAAATAATACATATATATTTACTAAATGAAATATAAGCCTAAAATTTATTATAATTCTGATGTACTGCGTTAATTTTAGTGAAATAGATCAAGATATATAATGTTCACAATTATACCTTTTTAACTTCATTAAGAAAATTATTAGAGAAAAGAATATTATTAAAATTTATAAGAAATTAATTAATAACATACAAATATTATGAAAAAAGGAAATTATGTGTTGCTAATTCAAAGACACTGATTGGTGTGAATAAAAATTTAAAGATAATTTAAAGATAAATGAAAAACTTAAAATAAAAGTCAATATTAATATAATATAATAAGCTGATATAATAGTAATATAATAAATCAATAATATTATTGAATTATATGAGAATAATTTTAGAATTATTAGTTCTATTTTTATTTAATTTGAATATTCATTCAATTATAACCTAATATTAATAAGAAAAAATATGAATTCGTTAAAATGATCTATAGAAATTAGATTATAAAAATTTAATGTTTAAATCTATCGTACTCTGTTGTATTAAGTATTACAATTTAATTTAAGATTACATGCATTCGAGAATTTGAATCAATAATCAAACGAGCAAGTTATCCATGGTTGCAATTAATTAAATATTGTTACTGAAAGTCGAAAATTCATTTGATTTTAGTTAATACCAAGTCATTTTTCATCATACTAAAATGCATGCAAATAAATTAATCTATCATTTTATATATTATATATTTTATATATATCATTTTATAATATTGCCATTTTCATATAATATATCCGTATTTACTCATTTGTTTAAATTATATTAATGTAAAGTATAATTAAACTGTATATAAATCTGTATATATATATATATATATATTTATTTTTTTTTTTTAAGAGTTTTACAATAAATTACGTATGCAAACAATTGGTATAGATGAAAATTACATTCTTTTTAGCAAGTTTTAGTAATAAAGTATATGTGAAAAAGAATATCCGAACATTTTTATGGTAATTTGTCCCATTCAATATATAAATCGTGATTTCTTCTCATTTCATTTATATTTATTAAATATGAATTCTGTTAAAAATCTCATTGGATGTATTTTACTAAATCATTTAAGTTTTACAAATTACTTATAATCCTAAATATTAAACAAATCGCATGAATATTTACGATCGTTACTTATATTCTATAAAATATAATGCTAATGTTCACGTGAATGCTCAGAATTTAATTTAATTAATAAAATGACATTTATCCACAACAATATCAGATTATTATATTTTGTTCAAATAAAATTTTTTTTTTTCATAATATATAAAGTTACATAAATATATTTGAATATGTACAAAAGAATCAGGTGGATAATTTCATTAGGAAGTATTGCATTTAAATTTTATTCGCATTATCGCTAGAATATTTTAATAAGCAAATTATTTAACTCTATTAAATTAATATTTTATAAATTTATATTTATGATGATTTTTGCTGTTACTACTTTTAGAAACTTTATTTATTATAACAATAAATATAGTATTAGATTAGTAGTATATATTATTTTGCTACTTGTTTAAAACGTCGATGATGAATGAACATTAAAAATTACTTTCACATTTAAAGGATTTCATCACTTTCATTCCTCTTCAACCTTCTTGGATGTAACGTTTTTTTCCAAATTTTTCAACGTCTGATTGTTTAATTATAAATTTTCCATCTTTTCGAACTCCTATACACTTTTAAATTATTTAATAAAAAATAATTAATAAATGTAAGTTAATTATACAATCCTTTAAGATTAATTATTTTTATTAAAAATATAATAAAATAAAAGCGATTGAGTTAATATTGAATAGTAATCTAATATATAGAAAACAAATACCTTTCATGTCCCTATTAACAGTTATTATTAAAAAATAAAGAAATAAACACTAAGAATGGAAAGCGTTTGTAGTTAGATTCATGCGATCCCTTACCAATTTTTATTCTAGTAGATTATAGCTTGAGGAATATTTCACTACACTTTACTTTCTTAATTTTCAGTTTTTGTCAAATTTTACTTAGCTTTATCTATGTTTAACTGCAAAGTCTGGATTATACGTCACTCATGAATCATACCGCACCGAATTTAGTTTAATAGGAAAATCAATTACTATTATATACATGTAATCATTAAAATTATAAAAATAAATAAATCTTTTTTTCATCCCTTGTTTTGTATTAATTTATGTTTTATTTATAAATTTAATTTTATTAATTCCAATTCTATTCGCAACAAATATAATTAGCTACTTAATTGATAACATTTTTATTTACTAGGTTATTTAAATTTTTTTTCTATTTGTATATATTAATTGCGTTTCTGTCGGTATTTTTATTATTCGGAAAGTACTGTTTTATGTAGTTCATAACAATTTTCTTTGCCCTCTGAAAACAATAGGTAAAATTAGTATGTGTAATAAGCACTAGTGGAAGCAATTGCACTAAGTTCGTACATTATAAACAGGCAGTTATAATGTACACTTCATATTGTATACAAAACAACAATGAAAATAACTATTATACATTGTAAAAATCATAAGAAAAAGTCCATTACCATTTTCAATGGGATTTTCATATTATAAAAAATTTTTTCATTATTTTTACTATTTATTGATTATTCAATAAAATATTTTCATAAAATAAATAAACTATATCTATAGAGCAATGTATTTATGTATTAATATTATACTAGAAGAAAGTTATCTTATGACAGATCAATTATGATGTCGATTAACAAGGAGTAACAAGAATCAAATTATAAATGCTTTTTTAACAAAAATTAATTAATTATTATATATTTTTAATTAAATGAAATTCATGATATATAGATTATATATTCCTATCTATCTATATATATATATATATATATATATATATATATAATTATCTATATATATTTTTTATTTCCTTTTTATTAGTGATATATCTCTGCAGACCCTAATTTCAAAAATTACCGATCAAATCTTGACGCTAAACTCATCAATACTTTTTGTACCTTATCGTACATAGAAAAAATATACATGAAAATGTTTTTCCAAATTCTGTATTGTATGCATGTTAATATAGTCGTTTTCTTTTATTTGACTAAGATTCAGATTATTTGAGAAAAATTAATTAATTTTTGACTACGGCAGATAAATAGAATTGGAATACAGACAATTATAATACCAAACATTTCTTATCGACTATATCGTGATTACATCTATAATATAATGTATATTATAAATATAAAAGCACTTATATTTATAAAATTAATATGACTAATTAATATAAAGTTCGAAAATAAATTATAAAAGAATTGTAAATACAGACCAAAACGCAATTTTAAAGAACGACATAAAAATTAATAGGTTTTGCTGAATAATAAAATTGCCATTATTACTATATTTGTATAAGAATCCCAAAAGTAAATAGTAAATATCAATTACGAACTACATGAAGCTTTTATTTCTTTATAAATTAATAAAGAATTAATTTATTTGACCGCGAAAAGATTAAATAAATTATTATCTTAATTAAATTATTATTAAATAAAATATTATCTAATCTTATGAGTTAATTATTTTAATTATTAAACGCTGGCAAGTTTTATATAATCCAGAAACAACAACTACAGAAAACATTTCAATAAAATCCATCAAAAATTAAAAATTCCGATAGAGATACTAAAAACCCATTTAGAAGCTTTTCGTATGAAAAATAATACAAGTCATAAGTATTCAAGTCTATCACTTTAATGTCCATTAACTTGAGGCAGAGTAGAAGGAAAGTAATTAGTTTTTGAAACATTCTTTTTACAATGAAAGATTTAACTACGTCCATGTACTATAATTAAAGCATAATATTAAATTCCATTTATTTTATTAAATTACTTTCTAGTTATAAATTTAAAATGTAAAATTATGGACGTTAACGTTCTGGAATTGATCTTTAAAAAATCCTTCGATATTTTATTTTACTACATAAATCATTGTACAGATTTTTATTACACAGTAGATTTTTATTAAATATTTTTGTTTTATACTGTAAATTATAGGGTGAATGTTACTCAATATCTATGAATATGTCTTGTACATTAAAGATTAACATTTAAGCGCTTAAAATTAACTGTATAAAAACTGTATAAAACTAAAAAAATTTTAATACGTTGTCATTCTGCTTTTTCCTCCGGTCAATTATATCATATTTATTAAAAAAAAATTATGTATGTTCTCTATACATATTTATTATTACATTTTTTTATTTGATAAATATAGTTGATTATTATACCGTATATGTATTTATATGTAAATGTAATATACTGAATGATTTACTTCAATTTTTACAGATTCGCTAATTAACAATATACTTAACACAATCATTGGAATGTGATTAGATAATTTTGGCTGGGCAATTGAACATGTTTGGTAGTAGACAACAAGAATAAAAACAAGTCTTCTGATACTGAAAAAAATAGATATATGCGGAAATTTTTTTAACGTGCTTCTCCTAAAATAACAACTAGATGAATTGAGAGAGAAGAGGTGTCTATATATGTTAGAACCATTCCCTTTCCCCTCATATATTACAATTACTTCTTCAATAATATTTTGGTGAAATGTTTAAAGAGTATCTCTCCAGATTTCAACGAAGGAAATGAAGGTAAAAATGACACTGACAAATGAAGAGAAATAAA